TGGCGTGTATGATGGGCTCGCAGGACAGGCGAGAGGATATGAACGCACTAACAGAGAGTAGGGAAGGCGATCGTATGCCAATGCCGCCGGATTTGGTTGGCAAGGTAGCTTGTAGCCAAGATAGGTCTCCGAATTTGAGATTGAGTATATCCTCTGTGAGGTGTTTAATCTCTAGCTCGTATGCAGCGAGGTTGACGTCGTATTGGAAGATACGTGACGAACGGAGTGTATATAGAATTTTTGGGATTAGGAGGTAGTTCTTTAATAGAAAGACGCTTGGTGGGCTGGGAGGCGAGATAGTGTACCACGCATAAGGGATATCTCTAGTAGAGTGTCGGCGAAGAACTTGACAAAGGACTCGTCTTAACCCACTGGAGATCCGAGATGTGTTAAGAAGTTCAATGGTGTATGATTGAACATAGGATCATAGTTAAGGTCGATGATTCCAAGAGGACAATATTCGCTCTTGTCTTGATTGATTCGCAGTCCCAAACTGCTCTCGCTGGATTTTATTATTTCGACCGCCTTCATAACCTCGCTGGGTGAGCCGCCTAGTATACCATCGTCGATATACCAGTTATGAAGGTTTAGTTTACATTGGTCATTTATGCCTTGTATTAAGCTATTAATGCCCAGACAGAATAAAAAGGAGCCTAGAGGGTCAACTTGTTGTATACCACTACTAGAAGGAATCAATCTATCCCCAAATTGAAGATGCGATGGACTAGCATAACAATCGAAGATGAATTGCGAGTATTCTGGGTAAAGGGTAAGGATGGGATTAAGAAACGCTGTACGTTTTAGAGAGTTAAAGGCGTTTAAAATTTATCTTAATTAGGATATCGTCACTGGGGTCTGTTTGTAGATACATTCTGGTCATGTGTAGGGATACCTCACATCCCCCTTTTACGTTGACTCCTAATTGATTAGGGCACAGGTGATTGGATACTGTGAACAATATTCTGCTCACTACTAGCTTTGCGGTTAATTGGCGCCAAGTGGTTCCAATAGCGATAGGGCGAATATCTTTATTAGGTTTATGGAGGGCGATGAGTTTAGCTCCATAAAGGAGTGGAATAATGGCGGGTGGTACTCCAGCAAGCATACGGTTGATGAGTTGAGTAATTTTTTCCAAAACGTCGCATTGTTGTGTGATGTAAGGTGCGGTTAGATCCTGTAGGAATATTGGGCGAAACCCATCAACTCCCGGTGAAGAATCGCTTTTGAAGGAGAGAATAGCCTTTCTAACCTCGCTTGAGGTAAAAGTGGTTGCAATTAGAGGTGGTTCGGGGTAAGACGGTATTTCGTCCTTAAGATCGTGTGGGTGGTGTATTTAGGAGAAGAGCTTGATAAGTTGTTTGATCGTAGGGAGCTAGCTTATTGTGAGATGTTGTCAGTCGTATGGCGGATTTAACATTCAGGTTATCCAGCTTTTTAGATATAAGCTTGGCCTTGGTGAGTAGGTCATTTTTGTGATTTTTATTTTTATCAGTGTCATCACCTTTAAAAGATGTGGAAAAGTGATTGATGGGTAAGGGGTAGATAGTAGCATCCTTGATTTGCTGTCAGAGATTTTTTGCTGGCAGGATCAGGAACTTGCAAGGTAGTAAAGGCAAATGATAGGGTGTCTAGCCAGTGTTTTATGGAAGAATAATTATTTATCAAGGAAGTCAAGTTCTTTGAGAGGTGTTTGGCAACTTGAAGTCTTGCTCCCTTAGGTATTCGTGAAATCACAAATGGTTTTGATGTGACTAAAAATAATTATACATCTGTGGAGACAGTTGGATTGAAAGTGAGAGCATTTCCGGCGGTTGAGGTGGGGACTATTGGGCTATTAGGCACATTAGTCAACGTGGGAATGGTAACTATAGGTTGTGCGAGGGCAAGGGCAGAAAAGGCATTTAGGGTTCGAGGGATAGTTGGTGATAAGAAGGAAAGCCCAGATTGAGGACATTTTATCTTCTGGTCATCCGATAGTAAAATGACTAACTTTATTAAAAAAAATATTTGAGGAGTATTGACTTAGTTTTACTAAATCATACAATTAAAATATAAGAATTTTTTATACATATCTTTTGTTTTTCTATCCTCTCTTCAGCCTCTAGGTAATTGCTCAAGAAAGTGGATATTAAACTTGTTGCCTATCAAATAATTTATATTATACTTCTTGCTTTCATTTTTATAAATAATCAAAAATGGTCAACTTATTTTACTACTATGCATTAACAAAATCATTTTATAAAAATGATTTTAAAAGGGGGTATTTTCATAATGATACTCTGAGTGTAAATCTCATAGCTATACAGTATTACACTAATTATAATATTAAAATCATGATATTTTTTTACTTTTCATTGGTTAAAACTAAAAAATGAATAATAATAATATAAACATATTATGTAAACTTGAACTAACCTGAATCGTGATTCAAAATAAAATCAATCTTCCTAAAAAAAATATAAAGATTATTACACATATTCTAGTTTATACATGTTAGGAATAGAATACAATTCTTCATATCTTTTCCATTTAGATAATATAACCATATTATCAATATGGGATCTTCCTAGTTTATAGATTACCTTTTAAATTGTGTATAATGTTAATATAAAAAAATTAAATAAGATAAAATATGATTAACTCAAAGAATATACATATACAAAAAATATTTAACTTCTGGAAATTGTCGTAAGGAATTTAAATTAGGTAACATCAAATCAGCCTAAAAACGATGTATATAAATATATTTAGGATTTGTTGATATATTATTGTAAATTATATTATACATAAAGCTAAACATTCTAAATAAAATCTAAGTTGTTTAATTTTTATAACCAGATTTAAAAAGGGAAAAGCTTAGAAAAATTTATAGATATAATTACAAAAATATATTTATTAAAATTATCACATTATAATATTGAGGGAAACTCTTATTTGAAATAGCGAAGTGTGTTAATATTGTATCAGAAAATATTTAAAAAAATATATATCAATTAGTTTTTTATTTAAATTTGTAATATTTAACTTTTGAAACAGATACCAATTTTTATTATAATATTATAAAAACTTATAGTTAATTAACCAAAAAATTTATAAAAAAGTGGGTAAAAATTGCCTATATTTATAATGACAACTATAAACTAGTTAACAAATGCTTTATTATAAGTATTTAGTCCCTAGAAGGAGGTCAATACAAGTAGAATATTATTATTAGAAGTCTTATCTACTAAAAAAAGATAACCGACCTACTAAATACATATAATATTATTTGTCATAAATATTATTGTATACTTCGGTATTAATAAAAGGCATATTTTTTAAAGATTGTTTTAACTTTAGCATATCTTGAACAGTTGTGTTAATCTAAAATATAAATTTAAAATAAATTAATTATACATTGCTTAGACTTATTTCAAAAATTTTATTTTGGATATAAAATTAAGGAAGACCGGGGAGGTTATAAAGTTTATTATATACTTTTACAACATATTTTTATTTTTATGCTTAATGGTTAGAATAATTTATTATGGAAAATCGCAGTAAAAAATTATAACTAAAATTTTCTGATTCAATTACTTTCGACGCCACTTTACTCGATGAATGCAAACATTTATTTCCTATTAACTCTCATTAATCTTAAATATCATAAACTTGTAGAGACCAAGATTTTTAATTTACTCTAATTTAAAATTTTTTTTAAATTCATATTCTTTAGCCTCATTCTATTTTTAAAAAATATTTATTGTCTCGTCCTTTTTTAATTAATAATCTTCTGATTTTATTTAATATCATTTTACTTCTCTTTAAAATTACATTATTTAGAATATAGCTTTAGAAATATTAATTATGTTCCAAAGGAAAATTAAAAATATAAGCAGTAAATGAATGTTGATAGAATTATAGGTTTGTAGATTAATTTATAATTTTAAATATCTTTAATTTGTTCAAATAAAGAGATCCTTGTAATTTATTTAATAATAGTTAAACATATACAAAACTTCTAAATAAATATAAAAACTTTTACAATTATAGTTACGGATACACTTCGCTGGCGAAGAATTTAAAAATTAAGGGTCTCAATAAGACTTAAATGGATATATATTTAACTTAATTTTTTTTAAATCTCTTAGGAATAAATTTACTACACCCACTACCAAAGAATTTGAAAATGGTAAAATAAGAACATTAATATCATAATACAAAAACAAAAAATTATGTTTAACTTTCAATAAAATAGGAATAAATATGTTTAAAAATGGTTACCTTATCTATCATTCCATTGTTCATCTTTATAAATATTAAAGGATCCATAATTCTATTATCAAATGATAATAATTTTTTTAGACATTTCTTTTGAATATCATCAGAATCTATTTGGGAATATTCTTTGAATAAGACATTTTCCAATTTTACATCTTTTAGTAACAAATTCAATTTTTTGACAGTTACTAGTAGAAAAAAATCATGAAGATCTCTAATAAAAACATTTTAAATATAAATGATAAAAACTAATAAAACTTCGTTTACTAATTCTAAGAAATTATTTAATTTGCATATCCTCAAATTATTAAATAATTTTTGTAAGCATGAGTTATAGTTATATTTACAAAAGTCATAGTATTTTTAGAATTACAATAATAAGAAGAAATGAACTCCCATAATTAAACATAAAAAGATATTTGGCCATATAATATTGAAAAAAAATATTAGCTGTGTTTTGTTAACTTTAAATGTAAATGTGAGAGGACAAGTAAATCTATTTTTAACGATTTATTATATTATTTATAAACTAATTTTATTAATGTAAATTTAAATTCAAAATCGTCTTCTAAGGGTATTATAAATTATTTAAAAATTTTGAGATTAGAGGGGCCCGCCTAGATTTTTAACATCACACTCTGCACTGGGTTCACTATAACAGGAGTCACTGTATTTTATTGAATAATGATATTATACAAATTAAACTACACATTATTTACATAAGATCTTCATTGGAATTAGTGAATTTCTCAGTGAATTTGTTGAAGTTTTCAAAAAATGACTTTTGGATTATTATGTGCGTGTTTTTAGGTAATGTCATATTAGCATTTTTGGCAAGATGTTGAATGAGTAGTGTAAGATTAGTCTGATCCGTTAAATATAAAGTTTATTTCAATAAAAAAAAGATTAGTCAATAATTAATCAAACTATCTTTAAAAAATGATTATAATTTTATTTAACCTCCTAGCAAAATTAATATGTTTTACATATCAAAGTTAATTTTTTGATATGAAAGATAGGTCTTAAATTAAAATAATTTCTACAAGAAGAATGTCATTTGATGCATTCCTTCCCAGATCCGGTAACATTTGGACACATAGACATTCAAAAAAGATCAAAAGACCAAATAATCCATTTTTTGTACAATTTAAATTTATAGACAAATATATAAGGGAAGACCGGGGATATGTTACTCCGTGTTGGATATATTCTTCTCAAATAATTTTAATAGTAAAATTGATTATTTGAAATTTAAATAAATCTATTATACGTAACTTTAATACTGTTAAGAATGTTTTGCAGAAATAGGCCCATAAAAAGTTTCGAATCCAAAATTAAAAACACGTCATTTACTTAAGAAATATATTTAAAAAATGCTTTTATGATATAAAAATACGTCACACACTAGCATTCTTAATATGAGCTCCTGTCATATTTTTTTTAAAAAAAAGAGATTTTAAATGAGTATATATCATAATCTAATGCACCTTGGTGAAGAGTAAGCCAAGATTGTTAAAAATTTGAAATTAAAATTTTGATTATTAGTAAAATTCCAAATAACATTTAATATTACAATTTTAAGTATTCCAGAAGCAGTCTTATAGGGTATATTTTCGTATGCGTTATCCTTGATGTTGTGACGTAACGTTTCATCAATTATCTTTTTAAATAATAATAATTTAGGCATAAGTATTTGTAAGACACTATTCTTTTATAATTCAGAGCTATGCAACGGTTGGCAGAGTAATATTTTCGTAGCCCGAGCCTGACCCGTCCACATATTTTTTAAATCCGATTCTAACCCGACCAAAATTTTTTTATAATTTGGGTTTAAAATGAATCATTTTTTATTTAAAAAATATATATACAGATAATTTGCAGAAGATAAAAAATATTTATAAAAAAGGAACAAATATATTAAAATTAAAAAAAAAACTAATAAAGAAAATTAAAAGGGAGAATGCTAAGTGAATGATTCGGGCAAAGAATTTTTTAATTAATAAATCAATGATGTTGTGTAAGTTTATGAAAAGGATTTCTATCACATTCATTTATTAAAATTTAATAAAATACTTTATGAATATCTATTGCAATCTTTTCTAAATTTTTGCCTCTAGTTTTATTTCCGCCTAGTTGAACATATATCGTATTTATGTCTTTAATTAATAGGTAGGAAGCAAAAGAAGAAAAATCTAAAAAGGTGACCTCCTTCTTTCTCATAATATTCTTTCTGAAATGAACAGTAATTAGTAAAATACCCGAAAATCTGAATAAATTGGCTATTCGCTGTAATATGTCTGCTTTAGTTAATTGAGGAAAGGTCGCCAACGATAATAATGTAAGGTTATTATATTTTAAATATTTCCCAAAAATTCTTTTTTTGCTCTTCTCAGTTTTTTTCTCATAACCCTTGCAGGAGCGGAAAAAATTTCTGAGTTTTCTTAGCGCAGTACTAGTTTTTTTTGTAAAAAGTATGTTTGATTGATTATTTATCTTCCCATTATGTATATCTTTATAAAAAATTAAAAAATATTTGAAAATACAAAATAAAATTAAAGAATAATCAATATAGAGCATAGCGTACCTAGAATTTCTATTAATTTTTCATATTTACAATTTTTTTGCAATTCATAATGTGCTCTGAATTCGCAATTTTCCAATAAAACATCTATGCATCTTGTCAGGTTTTCCTTGTTTATCGAACTGGCGCTCCCTTGAATATAAATTTTAAGTATTAAATTATTATTATAAAAAAAATCCAAAGTGTTTATAAGGCAAATAATTATGTCTCACTCCATTTTAATTTACTAATAAATATGATCGGAATGAGCGTATCAACTGAAGTAAATTGCTAGAAAATAAAAATATTTAACTTTATACCATATAATAGGAAAAATTGGGATGGAGTATTCATTCTTCCAATAATAATATCTAGCTAAAAAAATTAAAATGATATTTTTTTGAGAAAATCAAGAAGTTTTATTTCTTTATTAGGACCTCTTATAAGGGTAAACTATAAATATCAATGGGAAATTGCATTTTTGCAAAATCATGGAAACGTCTTTAAAAAATAATCCTCATATAATATTATTATTTTATCAAAAAATATAAAAGAATTATGATAAGATTAATTTCTGCATAATATCAATTTTAAATATCATTTTCCGAAATTATTAAGTATATATAATATTAATTAAATAAATTTTGATTGAAATCTATAATGATTGCATAATATTAATTGTAATTTATAAAAAAAATAGCTATTACTTAAATATTTAATCTTTAGTAAAAAAAAAATTTCTCAGAGATTAATATTAAATTTTATCATGTTTATTATTTAAAAAAACAATTATCTTCATAAACAGGGTTGTCAAATCAAATTTTCAAACTTCTAGATAGTGAAATATAAAAATGCGATAGAAATATAAAAATTGTTAAAACGGCCGGGATTGTACTTTATATAAATATTAACAAAGTTGGTAATACTTAATATTTTATACTTAGTTTTAATTTATACTTCTTTGTCTTGGAGTTACTTTATTTATATTATATAAAAGAAAAACGTGATACGTGATAATTAATCTTCTAGCAATGTTATATACAAATAAAAATGTTAAAATATGAATGAATTATGTTGATTTATTACTGGATAAAAATAAAACATGATTAAGTTAAGGATATAAAGAAATTTACAAACTAGGCATGTTTTTATTTAAAATTTATTTTAAAAATATAAATCAATTATAAATTATATTTTTCTATATAGAAACGTTAAGATGCTAAAAAGAATTATTCGAAAGATATTTAAAAATTGTCATAGATTTCCAATTGCAATAGTATTGCGGGTGTGAGATGTTTGCGTGTAAACTTAAAATTCGGGAGTCTCAAGCTGATGGTAAAAAAACCTGGTAACCCTCTTCATACATAGATAAAAATCTTTTTATACTCCCTAATAAATCAATTGAGTTTTAATATTTATTCGTTTCTAATACTGAATGTAATAGTAAAAATTAATATAATTTATTATAGAGTTACAACCTATTAGTTATTGTATTATTTTTTTTCCTTGACAGGCCAATTTTGGAAAATAATTTTATCTAATATAAAAATTTTATTAAAACCCCCCAACGGATTAAAGCATTTCAAATTTGAATTTTTTTTCCAATTTGTTTGCTCTAAATAATTTAATAATACAAAAAGTAAATAAAAACATAACATTAATTTAACAAAATTAGCAATTATTTAAAAACTATACAAGTTTGAGGAAATTTTTTAAACATATTAATATTAAATTCTGATAGCTTATCTTTTGATTTAACTCAATTAAATATATTAAAAAATAAGTTTACAAAAAATTTTCAAATAATTTTATTTATCTTTTCAAATGTCTCAGATTAAATAAATTTTAATTATTGAACAACATGAATAATAATTTGTATAAAAAAATATCAATTATTTAAAAAATATTTAAGTTTGAGGAAAATTTCTTATACATTAATATTTTATATATATAAAGGGGATAAGATTTTTTAAATAATGTTTTATACGCTTTTCAAAGTTCAGAGTGGAATTCCTTTAATATTACAAGTTTTTTTGTGATGTGATTATTATCTTATTTATCATTCAATCTTTCAAAAAATATAAGGAATTTATTTTTATTTTATAAACCTAGTAAATATGTCATACAAAGTTTTAAATATTTTTTAGCTTCTAAATGAAAAAATTAATATTAAAACATATATTTAAACATAATAGAAATATTTAATTTATTAACTTATTTTTTTACCATGGGACTTGTGGAAATTTAGAACAAGCAGGATAAGATTTAGTAAAATTTTATTCATTTTAATTGATATTAAGTAAAGATCAATTTTGATTTTTAATATAATAAATCAAACAAAATTTAGGAACTTTAAATATAAATATTTAGATAAAAATTATTTAATGATTGATAAAACGAGCTAGTATTTATAAAATCCTTGAAGTAAATTAATATAACTTTTTAATCTATTGTAATTAAATATTAATTTTACAAATTCGTTATTAAATATTAGAAATAAAAAAATAATTATAAAAAATTATACAAATTGAGAAGAAAAAACAAATAATTAACCTTGATTTGTAAATATAAAAAATTAATGGATTTAAAAAATAATGGATAATATTTTTAAATATTTTATATTATTGTATTAAAGTTTTATAAAGTCAAACCTTTTAAAATTGGCCATATAATCATCCGGTATATAAAATTGGGAAACAAAACTAGAAGGTTCTAAGAAACTGGGTTGTTTAAAAACTATAGGTACTATTATTTTAATAAAATGATAACCTGGATATCATTATTTGATAATATTTTCTTCTTATAAACTATATATTTTTTTGTATGTAAAGCTTATATAACGATATAAGGAATGATTTCCTTTGAAATGATACTTTTAAATAATATATTATTAAAGTATAGTATAATAAAAAAAAATCAGCTTTAAAAAATATAAGAAACATTTTGCTGTTCAAATAAAAGGGGGAGGGGGGTAAGATTATAATTTCACTCTCTGAAAATTTTATTTTCCCAACTATGTCTTAATTTTCTAGGGAAAATGAGTATAATTAAAAAGAAAATTTTAATATTTAAATATGATCTATATAAATTTAATTATATTTCTAAAATAATTGAGGATAATTTATATATTATCAATAAATTATCAAGCTATATTACATAGCACTTATAAGCGTGGGATCTAGGAATAAACTAAATATCTTCGTCTTCTTCGAAGTTTCTAATAATGATTTTTTTTATATTGTATTAAGGTATTTTTTAAGATTAATATATAATTTTTCAGAGCCTGTAAGATATCAAAATAATTTTCTTAAAAATGTATTTGATCGGTTCTGCTTTTATTTTTTCAGATCTGATACGCATTTCCCTATTTTACTAACTGGACTTGTAGGTTGATTTTCAAAAATCAATTCCCAAGTATCAAAAAAAAAATTGGTTTGTAGTTTTAAATTCATATGGATATAAATTACTTATGTGATTGGAGGAATGATCTAAACCCAGGTTCTGTCCAAAACTAATTAAACTTTAAATAAAAAAGATAATTTTAAGCTGAATTTTTACCCATTTTGCTAAACAACTATTAAATTTAATAAGAAGTTCTTTTATTTTAATATATTATATACTAATAGAATCACGTAGTCCCTTCAAATATTCTATATGTCGGACCATCTAGCAAGAACCAGCAAATTAATTTGATAAAAACACCGTTCCTTGCTACATTCAAACCAAGAATTAATAAGTGGGTGTTGTATGAACTTACCTAGGCCCCAGAAACACAATTCATTTGTATATAAGGATAAAATTATGACCTTATTTAATAATCTTAATAAAACAGATTAAAAAAAATTTTAAACTCAACAATATGCATCAAAATCCTTTTTCCTGGTCTTTTTATGTTTGAAATATATTTTCTTATTCTTTTCGTTTTTACGACTATTATAATGAATAGAGTATAAGCTAATCACAAAAAAAACTCATTTATTATAATATAAAAATATACGTGATAATTATTTTTTGAGATCTCTTTTATATTCTTGCCTCTAATTTTCTTTCCGCCCAATTGAAAATAAAATTTTTTAATCCATTCAATTGATGTTACATAATAGCAACTTGTATGCAGAGAAAAATTTACAGGCTGGCATTAGTATACCTAGATCTTACCCTCAACTATTAAAATATATTAAAAGAAATGGCTAAACAGTCCTAAATAATATAAAAATTTTAAATATTATATTTCTAATCATTATTTACTGAGTATAAATGTATAAAATTATGGAAGGCAACTGAAGGAAGAAGATAATCAAACGTTAATTTTTTAAAATGTTTATTTTCTTTAAATTTTTTTATTATCAAAATATTATATATCTTTTTTATTACAATTCGTCGAACATACATACATTTATTTTATTTGTCGATTTATATATGTATAAAAAGTTAACCTTTAAAAATATATCGTGTTTTTTAATTTAATATTCTAAAGTACATAAATTTTTAAACAACTTATTTTAAGGTAAAACATTTTTTGCAAAAATTAAATTATTTTCAAGTAAGAAAAAAATCATAATAATTTGAGTAAAAAATAACCTTTAAATAAAAAATTATTTTAATTTTATTTAACAAAGTGTTTCATTTATTTTTGAATTATTTCATGACATTTCTTTATCAATTAATGTGTTTTTAATTTTAGATCATTTATAGAACACATTTTAAAAATTTATAAAAGTATAATTTTACGGGAAATATATTCCAGCAGAATATATTATAAGTAAAATTTTATATTAAAAATTTAAAAATCTTACTCAAAAATTAATCTAAAGTTTATAAAATAAAATATTGACGAAAAAAAAACACATTGTCGCTAGCATATATACAAATAACTTATTATTTATTATTTTTGTAATTTTTAATAATATATTCATTTTAAGTTATATTATATTTAAGTTAAGATTTACCCATGTTATAAATCATTGCAAATGCTGTTTCTATTTTCATTCGGTATTTCTAAAAAATATATGATACTAAATTTAGGTATATATTATGATATCGACAATAATTATAATTAGACAATGATCTAGGATTTTGAAAGGAAGGGGGGAGGGGGAAGATGAATCACATAAGATTTAACATTATAATATTAAAACTTTATTTACATATAAGTTAAAATTTGGTTTAAAAAAAAATTTTGTGAATATTTTTCGGAGGTGAAACCATTTGTCTTCCCAATTTCCGTTAAACATATTACTAAATCCAGGTATCAACATAATGAATTATCCAAAATTTATTGGATCTGGCCCCCTAGGAAATATTTAGCCTCCTCTAAAGAGATATTGCAGATTTTCTATATTTTGTTAACGTTATTTTAAATTGGAAATTTTAATATGAGCAGTAAATTAATATTAAATGATTTTCCTTCATTTAGCTGATCTATTAGTATAATTTAAATTTTTTTTGCAAAGAGTTTTGGCCAACATTTTTAAGTTTTTTATTTAAAGTAGACTTAGGGATTTTGGCCTGGATTACAGGTCTATTGCAAATATACTATCAATTTTTGTCGTTTCATAAGAAAAATTATCATTGATATATTATCAATAATATTATTATTTTGTACAATAAAAATCATTTTATATTCTTTTTAATTATGTAATTCAGGGGAGGGATGAAATTTAAAAATTTCACAAATTTTGCTACTCTTTTTTCGAGGAGAGTAATACATAATTTCAGAGGATGGGGAGATAATTAGAGTCACTATATCTGATTGAAAAATAATATTATGCATTGACTTAAGTTACTTTTAGAAGATCTTCAGTGGACTTAGAGAAATTCGCTGTGAAATTGTTGAATAGATTAACAAAAACTGCTCTTGGATAGTTACATTCATGTTTCCAGGCAATACTATATCAGCGTCTTTGGCTAGATTTTGGATGAGTTATTTAAGTCTAGTTTATTCCTTTAAATATAAAAATTTTGATCGGTGAATTAATCTATTATCTTTGCAAAATTATTAAAATTATCTCAAAATTTAAAAAAATAATTAGTATGATATAAATATCAGAAATATTTAAATGTGGGGTAGGGGTTTATAAATACTGTATAGATAGTTTTGTCCTATGATTAATATCTTTGATGTATTCATTTTATCCAAAGGTATAGTATCATTGGGAAGCGTAGTATTACAAAAAAATTTATAAACAAATATATAAGGGGAGACCGAGGATATGTTATTCCGAGGCAGGTAATATCTTCTCACATAATTTTAAAACTAGTAAAATTTATTATTTTTAAAATTTTAACCGTAAATATATTATAAGATGTTTCAATAGTTCTAAAAATAGTTTTCACAGAAATATCTAAATTAAGTTATAACTTAAAAATTTTTTATTATTATTAAATTTTTTTTTTATAAAAGTACTCCATTCTTAATGATAAAGTAATCACAATTTTATCATGTACAAAAAGTAAAAATTTATAGTAATTTAATATCTTGAGATTTAATTTTAATTTACTTTTTAAAGTCCAACATTTTTTTAATGAGAAAAATTTTTTTGTTTATATTTTATTTTCTAGTCTATTTATAAAAGAAATAATGATTACATAAGGCATCTGCTAGTAATATAATAAATATTGTAGATTCCATGTGTAATACACAGATAATAGAAGATGCAATGTATATCATAAAAACTAGAAGCTATAGAACCAGTGGCGTAGCTAGGAATTTTCCTTAGAGGGGGTCCATACATAAATTTATTAGATTATTCTCAATGACTTTATATTAATACTATCCAGAAAAATTTCAATAGTAAAATAATATCCTTCCACGAACATCAGAACCAGAAAAATATAAATATTATTGGTATTTCTTTGATATAAAGTCACCACGTATAAGTCTTTTGAACGTATATTCTAAAAATAAATTTTTGCTCTGGGAGGGGTCCACACCCGAAAACCACCCCCGTAGCTACGCCACTGTATAGAACGTATATAATTTGTACAAAATCGGAACATAAAAATTAGTTAAGTTTAAACGTAATTAAATATAAGCAAAAGTATATAGCGTGAGAATTAATAAAATACGATTGAAATTATGATATATTTATATTGTATTCTTAAATTAAATTATTAAGCATTCTTAGTGGTTATAAAATAACACGCAAGTAAATGACAACAAATTAGCCAGGGCTATAAAGGGTTAAATGTGATGACCTGGAGCCGTTTTGATGGGAGGGTATTATTAGCCATTTGTAAATAGAGATCTTTTTAATAAAATCAATCTCTATATTTATAAGAAAACTAGAAGTCACTACTTTGTTTAGAGTCATGAATGATAAAATAAAGATGGTTGACTTATTTTTTTTAACATATGACAGTTTTAATTATATCAA